ATCTCGCCAACGGCTTTCTAGACTTTGCCTTGACCATGGGCAAAGGTAGGTGAAGAGAGTGCAGTAAATGTATTGAAAGTCAACTAGCACCCAAAACTAATCTACACGAAAGTTATCGTCCTTGCAACACCGTGCTATGTAGCACACGATGGACCTCGTCGAATGCGATGATAGAACTGTCGTGCGAAAGTGCCAAGATGTGATACGTCTTAGCGCACCGAGTTTTAAATGTGCTAAAATCGATAACAGAGAATAAACGTGAGACCGTGGCATAATCAACGAAGCAATGGCCAACACGAAACCCAAGTCTTTCATTGTTTGTAATAGCTGGAGCACAAGTGTTACAGCGGCTATTCATTTTAAAAGGTCACCACTTAATTCAATAACCTGAGCTCAGCTTTTTGCAATAAAATATTCTAGATCCTTGTACACGCGACTTGTTGTGTACTCATGGCAAGAAATCATTCAATGAAATAGCCCCCTTTTCTAATTTAACCCATGCTAGACTATGAAAAAGCCTGATGACATACAAGAAGTCATCAAACAACCAAATAAGAACGGCTACTATAAAGATCACGATAGACCAAAGAAAAGCTGAAGTTAGTGGCCTTGTGAAGCAGTGATGGGAAAAAATGCAACGCAACCAAAATTGCTAAAACTGGTCAATTCACCTGGGAATTGTATCTCGGGCGAAATGAGAGGAAAATAATGTCCACTTTTGCAGCTAGTAGAGTAAGGCATGTACTTGCAAGACAGTTAAAAATATGCAAGACAAAAGGAAATGTGGTAAGCTTACATGTCCCTAAATTGAAATAGAACATCGGGGTTGAAATACTGACGTCGTGATCTCGTAGCCATATCTTACGCAGTAACACAAGAGGAAACTACGTGTAATAAAAACCAGTGAAGACACCGGCAGGCAGTGTACAATAGCTTATTCAAACAATGGTTATCAATTCAACGATAATTAGGTTCATATATATTCAGGTTCCACAGATAATGAAGTTTCCTTCTATGATTATTGTACTGAAAATCCAAAACGAATCACTGAATAAGGTTCGAGGCCTGCATTCGGCCAAGTATCGGAAAATTGGGGAACCTTTATAAAATTGAAGGTTTTTAAGCCTAAGTACATGCCAAGTCGATTGATCTTAAATATCTCATTGTTTCCTTGCGAATTTCTGTTAATTGGCATTAATTTATTTAATTCAAAATTGCGCTTCTATTCCATATTTTCCTATCGCAGGCCTTTGGGGAAAGCGGTCGTGCTACTCCGGAAACTGAAAGCTGGAGCCTGGAGACATTGAGCATAATCCTTCATCATTGAGATCTGACTTCATGCTTGGAAAACGAAGTTTAGTATTGCCTTGTCAATACACCTCTCTGAGTGTTTGTGACCAGTCGGCACTAGGCACGGCCGTAGCCATGCTGTTTTCCGAAATATTTGGGAAACAGTTCAGTTTTCCAACTAAAACTATTACGTAAGAACTTTTTGCGTTTAACTTAATAAATTTTAAGTCGCCCGATAATAATATTCCTATATGAACTGATTTGGATGTCTTGCTTAAATGGGTCAGTATGATGCCGTTTATTTCCTGTGTTATCTGGGTGTAAATTTTGTTGTCGCGGCCATATTCTTTTCGATTAATCAAATGGCGTTGATACGTCTACGCTTTCCTAACATTCTCATCGATCGAGAACATATTTGAAAACGTATTCCTCTTAATAGGGTTCAATCCCAGTACTCTTTTCTGTCGCCATTGTCTTTCGCCAAATAAACTGAAACAGACTCCGAAAAGAATGTGAAGGAGTGGTGGAGACGACGAAAGTATTAATACACGGAAAGCATGCTATTATCCTTTAAAAAGTTAGGGCGAAAGATTCATAACAGCAACGGTTACTTGTATTAACGATCGTTTGGGGTGTTGGAATTGAGAGCTGACACCTAGAAAGTGAATCCTTATTTGATTTGCTTCATTTATTTCTTGGCTGCCAGTTTACAGGCCAAGTCAAAAGGGATATACAGTAGAGGATTGAGTTAAGCTTGAAGAAAAAACTGATTATTCTTTGTAACTTTTTTCAGGAGGAAAAACTGCAGCTAGTCGCATAATTGAAGTTTGGCACGGTGAACAACTGAC